GCTGAGATATGTTCCCTCTAAATCCACTAATATTAAGAATTTTTATCATAAACAGAAATTTTGTCAAATGCTTTTTCTGCATCTATTGAGATGATCACAATACTTATCATTTGTTAATGTGACATATTGTGTTGATTGATTTACAAAGATTGAACTGTTCTTGTCTCCTCCAAATAAATCCCAGTTGATTGGGGTGAATGGTTCTTTTAATGTATTGTTGAATGCAGTTGGCTCATCTTTTGTTGATGATTTTTGTATTTTTGTTCATCAGGGATACTGGCTGAAAGTTTCTTTTTTTCTTTTTTCTTTTTTTTTTAATAGTGTCTGATTTTGATATCAGGGCAATGCTAGTCCCATAGAATGTATTTGTGAACTTTCCTCTTTTATTTTTTGGAATAGTTTGAGGACAATAGGTATTCACTCTTCTTTAAATGTTTGGTGGAATTCATTTGTGAATCTGTCTGGTCCTGGACTTTTGTTTGTTGTTTTTTTGTTTGTTTGTTTTTGTTTTGTTTCTCCATTACCAATTCGATTTCCTTACTAGTAATTGGTCTGACAGATTTTCTATTTCTTCCTGATTTGGTTTTGGAAGATTCTAGGTTTCTAGGATTTTATCCATTTCTTCCAAGTTGTCTAGTTTTTGGCATACAGTTTTTCATAGTATTATAATTCTTTTTATTTCTGTGGTGTCAATTACTTTTCTTTCATTTATTCTATTTTGTGTCCTCTTTTTTCTTGGTAAGTCTAATTTTCTATCAATTTTATCTTTTTAAGAACTAGCTCTTGGTTTTGTTGATCTATTTATTTTAGTCTCTATTCCATTTATTTCTGCTCTGATCTTTATTATTCCCTTCCTTCTAACACTGGGTTTTGTTTGCTCTTTTTCTAGTTCCTTTAGATATAAATTAGATTGAGATTTTTCTTGTTTCTGGAGGTAGTACTGTATCACTATAAATTTCCCTCTTTGGGACACAGTGAAAGCTGTTGTAAGATTTTTAACTGTTGTATTTTCATTTACATTAGTCTCCGAGTATTTTTAAAATTTTCTCTGTGAATACTTCATTGACCCATTGGTCATGCAATAGTGTTTTAACCTCCAGGTATTTGTGTTTTCCATTTTTGTTTCTTCTTACCGATTTCTAGTTTCATACCATTGTGGTCAGGAAAGATGCATGGTATTATTTTATTCTTAAAATTATTGAGTCTTGCATTGTGGTTTAGCCTATGATCTATTCTGGAGAATGTCCCATGTGCACTTGAAAGGACTCTGTAATCTTGTTTTTGGATGGAATGTTCTGTATTATGTCCAACTGGTCTAACATGTCATTTTAAAGACACTGTTGGAGCACCTGAGTGGCTCAGTCAGTTGAGCATCCGACTCTTGATTTCAGCTCAGGGCATGGTTGTGAGGTCAAGCCCCTTGTTGGGTTCCATGCTCAGCAGGGAGTTTGCTCGAGATTCTCCCTCTGCTCCTGCTCATGTGCTCTGTCTCTAAAATAAATGAATAAATCACTCACTTATTATATTCCTAACTCTGATGCTTTTTTATATTTTCTCTGCTGACATTTTCACTTAGTTCTTTCCCGCTCCTCTGTAGTCTGGTGAGCTTCTTTATGACCATTACTTTTAATTCTTTATCAGGTAGATTGGTTATCTCCATTTCATCTAGTTCATTTTCTTACCTTTTGTCTTATTTTATTTGGAGCATATCCCTTTGTCTCCTCACATTGCCTTTGTGTTTATTCCTATGAATTAGGCAGCACAGCTACTTCTAACATTGAAGGAATGGTCTTGTGTATGGTCATCTATGTAGACTGGGTGTGTCAGTGACTGGCTGGTTGGAGTTGTGGCTGGCATGAACTTGGTGGTCCTCGGGCACTCATGCTGGGGCTTCCCTAATGGAATGGCTAGAGCTGTAGTGGGCATAGGCCAGGGTATTCCTGTAACTCTCCATGCAGAGGGTGCCCTGGCAGGATAGCTAAAGACAAAGTTGGTGCAAACTGGAGTGTGCTGGGGTTCTCTGCATGGAAGGCACCTAGTGGGTTAGGTGGAAGCAAAGAGGGGTGCAGGCTGGGGTGTCCTAAGCACCCTATGCAGGGCCTGCCCTAGTGGGGTGGCTGGAGTCAGAGTGTAGCATGGTCTGGGGCATCCTGGGGTGCTCCATACAGTGGGTGCCCTGACAGGAGAGCTGTATCTGAACTGCGTGCACGCTGGGGTATCCTGGAATGCTTAGTTCATGGGATGCTCTGGCAGGACAACTAGAGCTCTGGCTGGTGTGGGTTAGGTTGTCTCAGGGATTTGGTGCAGGGTTTGCTTTGGTTAGGTGGCTACAGCTGAGGCAGGGTACAGACCGGGGGGTTCTTGGGATGCTCTTTGCAGGTTAAGTCCTGAAGCTCTCTTGAGCTGGGGGTATCAAACATAGCAAGAATTAGGAGATAAAAAAGTGTGTGCCTGGAGTGTTCCATAATATTTTGTGCCTGTGTCACCTTGGCAGGATGGCTGTAGGTGTAGTGAGTGCTGAGCAGGGGTGTCTTGGTGTGTGGCATGCTGGAGGCTGCCTTATTTGCATGGCTTGGTCTCGTGTGGGCTAGAGGCCAGGGGATCACAGAGTCAGCAGGCTAACTAGGGTGCCTGGACCCTATTCCTGTCCATGCTAACAAGGTGGAGAGGGAACATAAACAGTGGTGCTTACCAGCACCTCCAGTGCAGAGTTCTTGCTGCTCTCCTTTTTGGTGGTGGTAGGGCTGGATCCTTTATAGGCTAGTTGCTTTTAATTTGTGGCTTTTTTTCTGTGCCCCAGCGCAGATGCCTCTGCTCACAGTTCCTTAGTACTATCCCTCCCCATTGCTATTTGCAGTGTTGGGACTGGGCTATCTTCATTAATATGTTTCCATCTCTCTTGCAGTTATGTGGTCATCTTTTGTGCAGAAGCTGTTCAGTCAGCTCTCACTTCTCCTTCAGGAGGAATTGCTCCACAAATAGGTTTATATTTGGTGTGTCTGTGAGGGAGGTGAGTTCATAGTCTTCCTAAGCCATCATCTTGCACTACTCTCCAATGGGAGTTTTAAATTTCTCTTTCTGCTTCTGCATTATTAGTATATAGAAATGTAACACATTTCTGTATATTAATTTTGTACACTGCAACTTTACTGAATTCATTTATCTGTTCTTTGGTGGAGTCTTTTGGGTTTTCTATAATTAGAAAATATATATCTACAAATTATGATAGTTTATCTTCTTACTAATTTGGAGGCCTTCCCTTTTTCTTTTCTGATTGCTACAGCTAGGACGTCCAGTATTATGTTGAAAAGTGGCAAGAGTGGATCCTCATCTTGTTCCTGGTCTTAAGGGGAAAGCTTTCAGTTTTTCACTTTTCAGTATGATGTTGTTTATGGGTTTTTCATATTTGGTTTATCATGTTGAGGTATGTTCTCTCTAAACCCAATTTGTTGAGTTATCATGAATGGATGTTGCATTTTGTCAAATGCTTTTTCTGCATCTCTTGAGGTGATCATATGGTTTTTAGTCTTTCCTCTTAATGTGTTATGTCACATTGATTTACTTGTGAGTATTGAAACACTTTATTCCTAAAATAAATCCTACTTGATCATGGTGATTTTTTAATGTATTGGTGGATTCAGTTTGCTAATATTTTGTTCAGCATTTTTTGCATCTATGCTCAGATATGTTAGTCTGTAGTTTTTGTGTGTGTGTGTGTGTGTGTGTGTGTGTGTGTGTGTAATGTCTGGTTTTGGTATCAGGCTAATACTCACCTCACAGAATACATTTGGGTATTTTCCTTCCTCTTCTATATTTGTGGAATAGTTTGAGAACAGGCATTAACTCTTGTTTAAATGTTTGTTGAATTCACCTATAGAGCCATCTGGTCCTGGGTTTTTGTTGGTAGTTGATTACTAGTAATGAAATTGAATGGGTAATCAGTCAGTTCATATTTTCTCCCTGATTAGTTTTAGAAGATTGTATGTCTCTAGGAATTTCTCCATTTCTTCCAGGTTGTCCAATTTGTTGGCGTAATATTGTTCATAGTAGTTTCTTGCAATCCTTTGTATATCTGTGGTGTTTGTTATTTTTCTTCATTCCAGATTTATTTAGGTCTTTTCTTGATGTGTCTGGGTAAAGGTTTATCAGTTTTGCTTTCATTAATCAGCTCTTGCTTTTACTGCTTTTCTTTTTTTTAGTTTATTTCCACTCTAATCTTTATTCCTTGCTTCCTTCTACTAGCTTTGGGCTTTCTTTTTCTAGATCCTTTAGGTATAAGGTTAGGTTGAGATTTCTCTTGTTGCTTGAGATTGCTATAAACTTCCCTGTTAGAACCACTTTTCCTGTGTCCCAAAGATTTTGTACCATAATGTTTTCATTTACATTTTTCTCCATGAATTTTTTTGACAACTTTTTTTTTTCATTGACCCACTGGCTTAATACCATGTTGTTGAGCCTCTGTATTTGCATTTTTTGTTTTCCAGTCCTTGTAACTTATTTCTGGGTACTGTTGTGGTTAGAAAAGATGCTTGATATGATTTCAGAAAGTCTTCTTAAATTTACTGAGATTTGTTTGTGGCGTAATATATGATCTATCCTGGAGAATATTCCATGTACACTTAAATAATGTGTATTCCACTGTTTTTGGATGGTTAAGTTAGATCCATCTGGTGTAATGTGTTGTTTAAAGCCACAAGACCTTTATATTAAAGGAAGGTAAAGCTACCTACACCTCATCACTGTTAAGATTAATTATCAACATATCTACATATATATGTAGACACCCAAATATACAATTGCATATAGTAGCACCTGGACCTTCATACATATTTCTGGTACCATACTGTGAGGGGGGAAAAACCCAATGCCTGAGGTACGTATGGTCATGGTGGCATAACTGAGTTCAACTGTAGGCCTCCTTTTATGTATATACTTATATATTTATGCTCAAATTATACTGAACAATAATCTTTGACGTACAGGCTTCTCTTCTTTTGTAGGTAGTGGATGTAAGTAGAGAAGGCAAAGAAGAAGTATTCTATGGGCCTACACTCCCTTTTGCTTCCAATGGAATAGCTGCATGCTTCCTTCCAGCTCCCTATTTCACATGCCCTAACCTTCAGACTCTTCAAGTGCCTCATCACAGAATCGGGACCATCTGAAAGGCAATACTTTGTTAATAACTCATAAACAGAAGGGAAAGAAAAGCTTCACTTTTGGATACTGGGCATGAAAAGATTCAGTGCTCAATGCTTCCTTGTTGTGTATGTCTTATATTCAGATAAACATTAGCAAAAAAATGAACAGTTTTCTAAAATACATTACTGAAAACTCCTGTCACCCTTCTCTGTGTGTCAATATACAATATATGGGACTTTTACTGTCGTGTAGCTTAGTACCAACTTAATGGTCCATAATTGTTCCATGGGACTTTAAGAGTCTTCTTGTATACTTTTTCTAAATCAGTGCTGTCTAGGAAAACAGGACAATGTTAGTAAGGAATTTATTTCACAAGTACTGTCATCAATGGTCTTTAAAAAAAATATTCAGTAGTTAATTCCCTTACTACTTAAACCTGGGTTTGTAATTTTTCTTTAAAAAATTTAACATGCAGCCCCACTCGGTATAGGCTCAGCATTATGACATTATAAAATTTTAAATGCCATATTTTATTCAAGGTAATACGAATAATAGAAGTACACCAGAAGAGCAGTTAGAATACCCATATTTTTTGGCTTGGTTAATCTGTGACCTGCTAGGTGCTTACCTTTCAGTACTTGTTTTACCACTAATTTTTAAGGAGGATAATTATTGATTTCCATATTAATTCAGAAGAATTTTGTGAAGATTAGGCAAATGCTAAGTACTTAAGAAGAAAAAAGTTATTCAAATTACAAGGTATTTTACTGTGTTTAGAACCTTGTTAACTGAAAGGGGAGGTTATTTTTGAAATTAAATAATTACTAAATAGAACTTGAAACACATACTATGGGATAAATGATTCTGAATAGCATGTGAAAGATATGCTAATTAGGAAAAGGGGAGTTTACCAAAGCCAAAGATTCCCAAGTCTGTACAAATTCTTGCTTCAAATAATAATTTAAACCTCTCATTTAAACTCATTTAGTGAAAAATGACATTTAAGCTCAAGAAAAATTAGTGGTACTAATTTTGGCACCATAAAGTGCTCTGACATAAATCTGAACCTAGACTTAGTAATTCTAATAAAAGTTTTTTCCACTTTGTTAAAGGTTATGTCAATCTTGAGCACTTGTGGGATTCTTTTCCACCACCGATACATATTTTATTACTACAAACTTTTAATAATGCATAAGAATTCTTATTTAGGTGAGGTTTTTGGATTTGCTTTGTCTGTAACAAAAAATATATATAAAATAAAACTCAATCACATTTGAACATAAATTCAAGAAGTATAACATAAGTTTTTCCCTTTTCTGAATCTTGTTAGGATCTAAGTCACCTTTACTAAAAGGGAGACTATACACTTTTTTTCCTTCAGCATAGTTTAATTATTCAGCAATCTTTCTTTATCTTATAGGAAACTCTCATTTTATTCATGGAACCACTTTCAGTAATCAGAAGTGAATAAAAACATAAACCCTTTTTAATCCTAAATACAAAATTCACTAATGTTATACATTGTTATACCTAAAAATTTTAATTTCCAAATAATAAATAATCTGGTTATTCAGATTAAAGAACAGGAGGAGAGACTGGGGTAAGGAAAAAAATAAAAAACCTCCCAGAGATTTAGCCAAAAAAATTTTAATTTTACAGTTCTGAAAAGTGCAAATTGATACTGATCATTGATACCAAAGAGTCTCTTTAAAGGGTATAAATCATGTAAACTAAACATTTTAAATGCCTTACCAAGTCAGGAAAATGACTTCCAGTATTTGAGATAGCCTTCAACAAGAACCTAAGCAAGAAGTATTTCAGATTTACTAAAATTTCTACTTGAGAAATGAATTTACTTCCAGTTGTTTCTACCTTATAAAAACCATTACACTTGTAATCCCAGATCCTATATCCAATGAATGAAAGGGAAATGGTCTAAAAATAAGCTTGCCTGACTGATAATGAAAAGGCAGCCTGAGATTACTGTTATTTTCTATATAGATTTCTAAGTATTCATTTAAAACAGATTGGCATATTAGCAAACCCCTTCTTGGTGATATTTAATGTGTTATTCACTAATTACAGAACTGAACTCAGAAAATTTTAAAAGTTTTGCATAGCTTTTGAAAACCTCTTTTATGCTGTAGCCAGGGAACAGAATCCAAAGTGCAACATTCCAAGGAAAAATAAAATGCAGAACACTTATGATTAGATCATTTCCCTCAAATTACTAATAAGAGCTAATAAACATTCTAGAAAGGTATGTTTGGTCATATAAACCAAATTCCATTGAAACTATTCAAATATATATTTTCCATTTAAGTGGGCTATCCTATAGTAATTCATCTTCCATTTTTACTCTTTAAAATTATAGACCGTATCTAATTTGAATTTCTGTTGGAAGATCATGAAACTTCTAACACCTTAAACAGCACTTCAAGAGTTGACTTTGTAAGAGAAGACACAGCACCACATAGATAACAGCAGAATATTCCTTAGTGTAGGAGGAAAAGCCAGCAAAGACCTTATTCTCGAAAACAATGTCTTTGTAAAGTGAAATGAAATTCCTTAGATTCTTCATAACAAAATACCTATTAGGTTACGATTAGGACATTTTTCCTGCTTTTTCGCCTCCTATTTTCCTCACAGTTTAATCACATGTATATTGTATCCCTTTCAGCTATTGTAATAACTGGAAAACTCACTCTCTATTGTTTTACCCCAGAGTATAAAAACAGGAATAAGATAGAACTATTCCTCCAGGTAACACGGTTCACTTTTATTTTGGTTTTCAAATAGTCAATCTGTCATAAAGGAAGTGGAATAACCATGGATGCAGTGTAAATTATATACATTAAAAAGTTATATATTATTATAGGCATAATTATAAACATGAATATATAACGCCCAGAATTTTTCTGAAAGCACAATTCACAAATGCAATAAGTTGGATAACTATTAGCACACTAAAAACTTTAATAAGCATATTCAGTTCTAATCATGAGGTACTTTGGTAACCTTAGCAATATAATTATCACAGAATCAAAATACAAATTTTATTAAATATGTGAAGAATATGCTAACTTTGCTAGCTTCCCAAACCAACTGTTTCAAGCAAACAAAACATGGTATTTATATTGGCATACTATACACTTGACTGACAAGGTAGTATTTTTAACCCTAGAAGGAGTAGGCAGGAGATCAGTTTTTGGAAAATGTAAGGTTTACAAAAAGTCTATAGGATTTAGGGAAGACAGGTTTCCTAGAGGCTTTTCCCAATTGCAGAAGCTTGTCAAATTTTTATATAACAGATAATCTTAACAAAGGGGAAGTAAAAATAACTGTCAAAGGTTCTGTTAAAGTACATGTAATTCTTTAAGGAGAAAGTACTTTTAAATAAAAATTTGTGATGAAGCATGGAAGAAGATAATGGGTAAAGAACACACACAATCTACAGATACATATTTTTATATATATATAGATGCCCAGGTAGTAAAAGTCAAATATGCTTAAAAAATATGCTAGGTTTAGATAAAGATATAAAAGTTTTAAAGTATGAAACTCTTCTAATGCAAATGGATTCAATACTGGATGATTTTTGTACAGAGATCATATTCCATGTTTTTTACTCCCCCATGAAAACCTAATTAAATGTTCAATTAAAATTTAAATCATAACCAAATCTGAATGTCTAATAAAGTCCTTCTATCACCCTGTTGTCCTTCAATCATCTCTTTTACATTCCATCTGTATATTTTACAGAAATTATTTGACTGGAATACTCATGTATCTAAAATATATTTTAAGTATCTTCCTATTTCAGTGTGTTAAGGTTAGGTTTCTAGAGAAAGGGTGGTATTTTAGGCTGGCAAACAATGAGGCTTAGAGCGTAGAATGAACATGGCATTCAGATATTCGAAGGCAGCTAGTCTCCTGCTTTAAGTTTGCACAGAAAAGGTAGAGTCAGATGGCAGAAAGTCTCCTGACTGAAGTGGATGTCCTTGAGTAGAAAAGTAAGAAGAGGAAAGTAATATTTTAGGAACATTAATGTCAGAACTGTGTGAGGTTAAATTGCAGGAAAGGAGATCAGAGATAAGAGAGATTGACAGCACCCAACAGAAAAGATGGTTGGGATGCACGGGATGGCAAAAAGAAAAGCAAGAGGCCCATACTGGTGATCAACTGAAAGTGGGGAACAAGTAAGAATCGAAGTTGCTTCTGCAGTTTCAAGGCTAACTGACTTGGGAAAATAGTGTCTTCCCTGGGTAGAAAAGAAAGGCAGGAGCTAGTTTAAAATAGGCGACAAGTGCAGCTCGACATGTTGCCTTGAGATTTCAGGAGGATCCAACTAGAGGGGTTAAGAGAGAAATTAGCACTAGAAATAGATTTTAGAGATAAAATTATGACCTACTGTTATCAATTCACTACTAGAAGACAGAGCGAGTGAAGGGCCAGATCTTACCACTGGGGACAAGAAAGAACACGAAGGTGCTTTCAAAGTACAGTATGTAGGAAGGAGCAGTATCAGCGAGGAAGGGCTGAGAAGATAAAGCAAAATGCAAATGTCAGACCAAAGAACAGAAGAAACGAGAACGTAGTCTGAGATTTCAGCAAAAGAGAATGGCTGACATTACAGTGGGAGAAGCAGGGGCCCTAGAGATGACAGGTTATTTAGGGGAATAAGTGATGGGTCGTGAAGATTTTCCAGGAAATGAACTGAGTTAATTTTTTTTCTTCAATTAAAAAAACAGCATCTTTAAAATTTTACTTATATATAAACACATGTATATATACATAAGTATTGTCACAGTTTTTTTTTGTTGTTACTGATTTTTAAAGTACAAACTGCTTATTCTTAGCATCTACACATATATATCCCAATGCATGATTCAGAAGCAACGTTTCTCAGCCTTAAACACTTCATACTCTAAGGAGTGAGAGTCTCAAAGATAATTTTATCAGTCCTACTTAGAAAATAAAAAAACTATATACATATATACACATAAATAACTCCTTTAAAAGCATTACCTTAAACAGATCAAACTTCATTTGCTGAAACTTGCAAAGAGATTTAAGTTTAATCAGTCACTATCATAATGAAAAGAAGCTCAGTTCTATGAAGTCTGTTACGTAACCTTAAAGAGGCTTTTATTCATTCTATTTGTTGACATAATGACAGTTGACCTGGAGGTGGAAGGGACAGACTATCTGTATGTCATGAAAACAACAGATACTTCTTTAGAATTCACAGATAAAAGTTAGGAGAGGACTATTAACTAGAGTTCACTGATTGTAATATATTTCATTTTGAAAGATACTTCTTGAATCAGAAAAGGAAGGAACCAGAAGAAGCATGATAAACACTAGAGTCCCAAGAAGAAAAGAGATATTTCAAAGTTAACAAACATGACATGTAAGACACAATTTGAAAAAAAGGTGAATCTTCATCTAGGACATAGTAGAGACAGAGGAACAACACTGAGAGGTGTTCTTTACGTTTGTGCATGAATAATTAGTAATCATGTCTGTATGCCTCAAATAGAACACATGTCACTAATATATTTTCACATACATTATTCTACTGATTCTTACCAGAACACTGTGAAATAGAAAAAGGAATATTATTCTTTTTTCTCCATGGAGAAAGTGAGGCTCAACAAGGTTAAGTAACTTGCTGAAGTTTACAAAGCAGAGCTGCGTTTGAGACCTACATGGGTTCCCAACACTAGGACTGGAGTTCTTTTACCAAATAATGCTCACCACAAAAAGGAGTCAAGGACGAGAGCCTAACTGATAAAATAAAAATCTGGATGAACTACTTAAAGAGTTGAGACACAGGAGCTGCTAAAGGAACTAAACTGGTTCCTTGTAAACATATAAGATGCTAAATTATAAGAGGCTCTAACTGAAGAGCAAGGAGATAAGTCAGCTGACTTCTCAGTCCTCTTCTGTTAATTTGTAATCCTAAGATATTTCAGAATATTATGTCTTTTCTTAAAAGCTCTTACTTATCCCCCTCCTGATACGTCTTTTCATAAACTTCCAAAAAGGATGACTAGAGAAAAAAAAAAATCTGGCAACTGTTAGAACCACTGCTGGCTTAAGTTTTAAAACATTTTACATACTATCTCTATATTCATTTAGCCAGACTCAGCCTCTTTCCTCACAGAGTTAAGTGTGCTGGGTATTTATTAGCTTGCCTCACACATGGTCTGACAAAAGATGACAAACATACATCCTATCTTCTGAACCCCCCTTTCACTAAAACCAGCAGAGAATAGCCAGATAATTTGAAAAAAAAAAAACCAACCCCAAAACATCATATTAAAACATGACTTGTAAGAAACAAAACACACACAAATAATTCACAAGTCAAAAAGTCATATTATAGTGACAAGTCCCTGGATCACCCAGTACAGACCTGCTTCAAGGACATACACAGAGATACTCCCAGTTAGAAAAAAAAATTACATCAGTTTAACTAAAAACTCTTCAAGAGAGAATGCAATTTTGTCAACTTCCAAAGATCCTATAATACACTTATTTAACTTTTATTTCCTTATTTATGTACTTTATACTTACAGGGATGTAAGGAAAAAAATTCTAGAAGGTATTTTTAACAGAACATTATACCATTGCTGTGCAAAGTGGCTTTAGATAGTTATAATGAATAGAGAGGGCAAAGCACAAAATATATTAGGTATTATCACTCTCCAGTCTTTGCATTTCATCTTGTCCAACTTGTCCTAGGTGAGATAAAAGTTTGCTATAGGCCTCCCTAAGAAAAAAGAAAAGAAGGTAGATATATTAACTTTTCCATAATTTTTCATTTAAGTATTTACAAATTGAGCCTACCTGAATGTCTGTCTACACACATGTGCACCCACACCCAAACAATATGATTAAAGTACTTTGATTCTTTAACAAACTTGGAACATATGATTTCTCATGAGTGCTGACTCCTCTAAAACAACCTCTTTAGGAACTACAGGTCTTTTTCCATGGTGTTGCATTATTTCACACAGACCAGCACAATCTGAAATTAGGTTGGTAAGCCTATATGAAAAAAAGCCCCACTACTATTTTTGACCCAAATCCATATTATCTAATTGGGTCACTCTTCTTACTCACTGGATACACGATATAGTTGATTCAGTACATCAAACATCCCTCAAAGGGTAGATTCGCCACCATGGATTTTATACAAAAACAAGATACCCGAGGCTCTAAAGTCCCCTTCCCAATGAGGAGCACTGAATGTTTTGAGCAATAGTGGCACTGCTGAAATACATAGCTTTCTAAGGTGCTCACTTTGAAAAGAACGGTATGTGAATGGATCTGTCAGTCGTAGTATGGAAACATTCATCAATTCAAAGAACACACCCCAAATTTTTAGGAATGGGAAAATAAGCCATCTCCAGAAAACAAAACTAGATTTTTATAATCATTGCCCAAAGAATGTAATCAAATGATCCAAACATACCTTTGTGCAGTATTTCTGCCAAGGCCCCATTTCTGCTCTGAATCCTTCAGAGATTGAGTGAGGGTAGAAAGCAAGTCGATAACAACTTGCTGGTCCAATGCTGCTACTGTTTCTAAAATGCTGTAAATCTGATAATCATATCTCATAGCATAATCCTGGATAAAATGCCTGAAAGTAAATCAAGTTACACAGGATTACTTCTGGGGAAGTTCCTTGGGCTGGTATCTGTATGACGATCAGCTGGAACCTGAACTCAAGAAAGATCATTTCACATAAGATTACCTGAAAAATCCAGATGCCCTATGAAGACAATTTACAACACTTAAAAATCAAGGACAGAAATGGCTTATTTCAGTGTGACCAGAATGATGGCATTGGTAGGAAAAGGGAAGAGTTGGAATCCCAGGAGGGAGAATAAGAAGGAAAATCTAGTTCCAGGGACTTTGCTGCTCTTCTTTGTTATGTCAAAATCTTAGCAGGAATAACATGGAAAAAGGGAGTCCAGGGCGCCTGGGAGGCTCGGATGGTTAAGTGTCTGCCTTCGGCTCAGGTCATGATCCCAGGGTCCTGGGATTGAGTCCCGCATCGGGCTCCCTGCTCCTTGGGAGCGTGCTTTTCCCTCTGCCTCTCTCTCTCTCATGAATAAATAAATAAAATCTTAAAAAAAAAAAAAAGGGAGTCCAGTTTCCTAGGTATTTCTTAGTTCTTCATATTCCTGGATAAATAAACTATTTTTATGAGAAAAGTTATTCATAATATATATTTTTATATTCCTTAACTGAATAGGAGATTTTAGACCCTCAAGAGGCCTTCATAATAAGAATTGTATGTTTTAACCCTACAATTTCCACTCTCTCCCCCAACAAAATAAAAGCCACCTAGCTTAATAAATTGTACATAACAAACAGGCAATCTTCATTTGTATAAAATCCTTTTTCCCCTCTTAGGGTTTTACAGGTTTTTTTTTTTTTTTTCTTTTTGGGGGATTTTACAGATCTTACAAATCCACTATGTATTTCCTGTGATCATAATTTAAATAAATTGTAACCAACGGACAAGTGCCAATGATGTGATAAGAAAACAAAGTGAGGAGTCAAAGATCCAACACAGAAGAAAATGGACTTGTGTTATTTATCACAGTAGTGCTAGGGCACAGATATGCATAATAAAAGTGAACTGGTAGAAATTGTGAGACGTATTTAAAAACACTGCCCTAACAGAAAGTACAAGAGTCTAGAGGAGGCAAGGCAGGAAATGACAACAAAACCCAAAACACAGAAAACATGATTCCAATTGCATTCTTATTCTTGGGAACCAACATCACATCTACTCCTATACAGTCTATGCTTCACAAATGAAGTACAATGAAGCCTTCTGGGTCTACAGTATCTAAAGCAGGTAAAAAAACCAGTGACATGTACTTCTGGATCCCGAGTAACATGTTTGGCAGTTCCGAGGGCCTGTGAGCCTGTCATGATGACCCACACACCCCCGTTTTGTCCCTTCAATACATGCAGGAGTCTTCATCACCAAATTCTCAGGTGATTTTAAGTCAGCTTGCTCATATTCCTCCCTGGCACTTTTGTCTTTTTTAATAAAATAGCACAATGTAACAAAACTATGGCCAAAAAATATAATAATTGAAATACTATAACAAGTAGTAACACATTATGTTTTGGATAATTAGTTATTTAAAAAACATGTTGGCTGTCAAATGGCTGGCAATGCCAGTTGGCACATTTTCCAGTTACCTAAACACAGAAGTCAGCTGGGCGGCAGGTTCTCCCTCTGACCCCACTTGGCAGGCTTTAACCATGTATTGCAGGTTCTCTGTGGCCAGCCTTTTAACTAGGAGGAAAAATTACAGCATTACACACTGTATCTGAATTGACCATCTGGATCCTCATTTTTATGAACACTCTTAATTTAGAAAAATATGTTGTTTTCTTAAAGTTTATACAACTTTTTAATTATTTTTCAAAATGAAATAGTTATGAGTTTTTGTTTTGTACTGAAGTGTATCTATCTCCTTATCTCCCATTTTAAGAAAATATAAAAAGCTTCAGTCTATTTTTTACAAGCTGATAACTGAAAAAATACATGAACATAAGTCTCTTAGAAAGAACCCATAGTCAAAAACATTTTATCATCCTAATCCTGCAAGCAGTTACATACTGACAAAAGATTGCCTTTAATCATTCAGCTGATTTACAGATGAGCGGATTGATTTTTTAAAATTCATAGGCATATTTCTCCCACTCTCTTAACAAATTAGAAACCACCGACAATTTACCTTCGCTCAAAATTAGTCAAAGATACGTATATACATACACACACATATATCAACTATTGGTGATGCTATCTTGTTTTCAAAAAAGACAGCAAAGTTACATAAAGAACATTTGTACCCTTTAAATATTTAACCAAGTCATTTAAAATTGTGCATTTCTCCAAAAAAAATGGAATAATATCAAGAAGGAAAATAGAAAATTCCGTATGTTCCAAATGCTACTGAATTTTTGTTATGTTGTTTTTGGCACATTAAATATAATAGCTGGGGAGAAAGTGCTTTGTCTAAGAATAAAAAGTAATTCAGAAACTCTAATTCATTATAGCAGGAGAATAAAACAGGATATATATGAACTTCAATTAATTAATATGTACTTAGTAATGTTCTCTACGGCATGAGGATGGTGGATAAAGAAGATGTAGCATACTTTTCTTTATTGAACTAATAACTCCTCATACTATAGTTCTGAAATCAGTATAATTGGTTCTTAAAAGACACTTCCTTGAAAAACTTCAAAAGCTCCTCTGTGGAAAAAGTACCAGAATATGAAGAAATAGCCTTCACAGAGAATTAATAGTAAGCATTGGGTTTTTATTTTACAATAGTTTTATTGAGGTATAATTCACATATCATAAAAACCAATCTTTTAAAGTGTACAATTCACTGGTTTTTAGAATATTCAGAGTTGAGAAGGCATCACCACTATCTAATTTCAGAGCAATTTCATCACCTCTCCAAAAAACCTTAACTCATTAACAATCATTCTCCACTTTCTTAATCGCCCAGCCCCTGGCAACCACTAATCTTTGTTTTGTCTCTATGGATTTAAGTCTTCTGGAAATGTCTTATAAATGGAACCATACACCATGTGGTCTTCTTCCTTTTTTTTAAGATTTTATTTATTTGAGAGAGAGAATGCGTGTGAGTGGGGGGAGGGGCAGAGGGAGAGAGGGAAAGAGAATGTCAAGCAGGCTGGGCACTAAGAGTGGTGCCTGACGTGGGGCTTGATCTCATGACCATGATTATCATGACCTGAGCCAAAACCAAGAGTCAGATTATCAACCAACTGAGGCACCCACGCACCCCTCCATGTGGTCTTCTGTGACTGTCTTCTTTTTACTTAGTATAATGTTTTAAGGTTCATCCATGCTGTAGAAGGTATCAGGACTTTCTTTTGAAGGCCAAATAATATTCCACTGTACAGATATACCCCATGTTGTTTATCCACTCATTGGTGGATGGACATCTGGGTTGCTTCCATTTGGAAGCTATTATGAACCAAGCTGCTATGGATCAGTGTTACAGGTGTTTTTTAAAAAAAAAACAAAACAAACAAAACAAACAACTATTTGCAATATTTAAGTAAACAACTTTTTAAAAAAAATTTTTTAGTTTTTCTTTACATTAACAGCTTTAGTGTCATATAGTTCACATTGTATACAATTCACCCATTTAACACGTACAATTCCATGATTTTTAGTATAGTCACAGAATTGTGGAACCATCACTACAGCCGATTTTAGAGTATTTTCTTTACTTTGCAAAGAAACCTGATAGTCTTTTGCTATCACTCCTTATTTTCTGATACACCCTAAAAGCAACCCCAAATCTACTTTCCATCTCTACAAATTTCATATTCTGGACATTTCATATAAATGGAATCATATAATATGTGGTCTTTTGTAACTGGCTTTTTTCACATAAAGTTTTCAAGGTTCATCCATGTTGTGTAGCATGTAGCAGTACTTAATTCCTTTTTATGGCCAAATAATATTCCATTGCATGGATATATCACATTTAAAAAATCCATCTGTCAGCTGATGGACAGTCTACCTTTTGGCTCTATGAATAATACTGCTATAAACACAAATAAACAAATTTCTGTGTAGACATATGTTTTCATTAATCTTGGGTATGTACCTAGGAGAGACATTGCTAGGTCACAGAGTAACTCTGTTTAAAACATCTGAGGAATGATCAGACTATTTTCCCAAGTGTCTATACTATTTTACATTCCCAGTGGCAGTAACTGAAGGTTTTAATTTCCTTCATGTTTTTGCCAAAACTTGTTATTATCTGACTTTTCCATAATAGCCAACCTAGTGAGTATGAAGTGGTATCTCACTGTGGTTTTGATTTACATTTCCCTGATGACTAATGATGCTGAGCACCTTTTCAGGTGCTTATTAGCCATTTGTTTTATTTTTTGGAGAAATGTGTATTCAAATTCTTTGCCTATTTTTAAATGTTTTTTTAAATTACTGAGTGATAACAGTTTATATATTCCAGGTACAACTTATCATATAAATGATTTGCAAATATATTCTTCGATTCTGTGGGTTATTTCTTACTTTCTTGATTGTCCTTTGAAGCACAAGAGTTTTTAATTTGGATTAGTCTAATTTCTCTCTCTCCTGCCTTATGCTTTTGTTGTCGTATCTAAGAATTCATTGACAAATCCAAGGTTATGAAGATTTACTACCATGCTTTTTTCTATGAGTTTTATAGTTTAATCTCAGACATTTAGGTCTACGATCTACATTGAGTTAATTTTTGCATATGGTGTGAAGTAAAGGTATAACTTCATTCTTTTGCAGGTGGATATGCGTTTGACCTAGCACAATTTGTTGAAATACTATTTTCTCACCACTGAATCATTCTGGCACCCTTGTCAAAAAAAGTCTGTTGAACACAGACATATGGGTTTATTTCTGGACTCTCAATTCTAATCCACTGATCTATGTCTATCTTTCTGCCAGTACCACAGTCTTGATTACAGTTGCTTTGTACTAAGTTTTGAAATTGGAAAGTGTGTCTTCCAACTTTGTTGTTCTTATTTTTTAAGACTTATTTATTTGAGAGAGAGAGAGAGAGCATACGTGAGGGTAGGGGCAGAGGGAGAGGGAGAGAATCTCAAACAGACTCTTTGCTGAGCATGGAGCCCAATGTAGGACTTATCTCCTGATTCTGAGATGATGCCCTGAGCTGAAACCAGAGTCAGATGCTCAGCCAAATGGGCCACCCAGGGCACCCCTGCTCTTTTTCAAGATTGGTTTGGCTCTTCTGGAGTTACACTGTATTTGTAGATCAGTTTGGGAAGTGCCACTACCTTAACAATATTACTTCTGATCCATGAAATGGAATGTTTTTCCATTTATTTACATATTCTCTAATTTCTTTCAATAATGTTGGTAGTTTTCAGATCTTAAGCTTGTATTTCTCTTTTCTTAAATTTATTCCTACTTGGGTTTTTAAAAGATGCTATTGTAAATGGAATCATTTTCTTAATTTCATTTTTAGATTTTCATTTAAAATATATAGGAATGCAACTGATTTTTGTGTCTTGTTTTTGTATCCTATAACCTTGCTGACCTTGTTTATTAGTTCTAATACCCTTTATTGGAGTGCTTAGGATTTTGTATATACAAGATCAGATCATCTACAGATAGGGATAGTTTTACTCCCTTTTCAATCTAGATGATTTTTACTTAGTTTTCCTGCCCTGAGTAGGACTTCTAGTACAATGTTGAATAGAAGTGGCAAGAGTGGACATCCTTGTCTCGTTGCTAATCTTGGGGGAAGAGCATCTAATCTTTCACCATTCAGTATGATGCTATAGGATTTTCATAGATGTCCTTCAACAGACTTGAAGCAGTTCTCTCTATTCCCAGTCTGTCATGTAATGTCACTCCTCTTTATTCCTGATAATTCTACTTATTCTGAAGTCTGCTTTGTTTGAAATTAATAGAGCTACTACAACTTTGTTTTGAATTGTGCTAGCATTTTTCTTATCTCTTTACTTTTAATTTATCTGTGTCTTCATATTCAAAGTAGGTTTCTTGTGGGTAACATACAGTTGGGCTCTGTTTTTTATCCACTGTCAGTCTCAGTCATTTAATTGGCTTATGTAAATCATTCACATTTAAAGTGATTATTGATATTGCTGGATTAATATCTACCATACATGTAACTTTTCTATTCATTGCTCCTTTTTTTTTCTAATCATCTGCTTCTTGTCTGCCTTCTCCAAAGTTTTTGTTTTCTTTAAGTAGGCTCCACACACAGTGTGGAGCCCAATGTGGGGCTTGAACTCACCACCCTGAGATCAACACCCGAGCTGAGATGAAGAGTCGGATGCTTAACTAACTGAGCCACCCAGGCACCTCTCCAAAGGTTTTAATTAAGCATTTTATGCTTCCATTCTCTCTCCTCTCTTAGTTCATCAAATATACTTCTTCAACATTTTTGTTTAGTGGTTGCCCCAGAGTTTGTAGTTTACATTTATAACTAATCCAAGTCTACTTTCAAATAGCACTACATTCCTTCAGGGGTGGCACAGGTGCCTTATAACAGCATTTCCAATTCCTTTCTCCCAATCCTCATTGCTGTCATTCACTTTATTTATCCATGAGGTATAATCACCAAATACATTGTTGCTATTATGATTTTGAAGGAAAAAAAAAAGCTATTAGATCAATTAAAAGTGGAGAGACGGGTAGATTCAGAGAATCACAGCATAATTACCAGGAGCAGGAGCTGATACTGGTAGAAATATTTA